TTCCTTGGAGTGGGGGTGCGCTCCGGTTTCGGGTTTAGGGCTCATGGTTGCAACGTTTGCGATGTTACACACCCATTGAGCCCAATGCCCCTTAATTGACGAATGCACCTTGAATTATAGGGGTGTATTATTATGATTAAAGGCGGATTCCTTCATTAAGGGGTATTGGGCCTACTGGGCTCTCTGAGCAACTTGCAGGCACTTGAGGGCGTCCAAGGGCCTCAGACTAGTTGGCATCTCATGAAACCTTGGCCATGCGTTCTCCGGTCCTCGCTCTGCAAAGTTTAGGGTTTTGGGTTTAGGGTTTGGGGGTCAGGGTTTTGGGGGTTGCAGGCTGTTGGGTTTGTAACGTTGTCTTGTTGTTTAAGGCTTTCTGCTGATGGTATGCTTTGCTTTGCAGCGCTAGTGTCACTGTTCTTGCTTCTGCAAAAACAATTACACTGTAGTTTTACTCGCATAAACCATTCCAGTTTTATGCTAAGTACTTTCAAACCGTGCACCCTAAATCCCTAGGTTGTTGAGTTCTTAAGAACCAAAAAGTGTACACTTTCAGTTTTATAGTGGGTAATACTATCCCAAAAAGCGTAAAGTCTATCCACTGAGCTACTCAGACCCTCAACCGAAGCCAAGCGTGGCAATGCAGGCCTCCGCCCCCCGCGCGCAGGGGTTGACGCTGACCTCCGAAAGACAAGACGCAGCAAAGGTGCCGAAGGTTTGACCCCGAATCCTTCAAATTTCGAACATCTAAACCCAATACCGACCCTAAACCCTAAACCCTAAACCTCTAAATCTCTAAATCTCTAAACCCCAAACCCAAAACAGCAACTAAAACCGGACGGATCCATCAGCCCTCCCTAGCAGGCTCAGGGTTTCGGGTTGACCTATGCCATCAACCAAATCACTGAAGATACAACTAGGAGGTGCTTGTAAAGCCTTTGAAAACTCTTAGTAGGTGAGATCCTCTTACTAGTAGGTGCTTTGAAAGCCCTTCAAAAATATTAGTAGGTAAGATCCTCTTAAGCCCAATACGAGCAAACATAAAATGTCCCAAAGCACTACCAAAACAATCGACTGAGTGAATAAGCTTCTTGGATCGTCTTACCGTCAGAGATTAGTGCTTTACTGTATGTAGTCTGCTCTTCTGGTTCTTGTTTTGATAGATGTCATACAGCTTTGTTGCATATACTCCACAGATCTCCACAGTATACCGCTCAAGCTTCAGATTTGTAGAGTTGCCGACGCCGTTCAGGCCAACACGGCTGGACAGGATCCTAAAGAAACAACCGGGCAAGCTTCCTAGGTCGTTGCCTTTGCGGTCCCAACGCGTCACACTCCACTTTGGGGTGTTTAGGGTTTAGGGTTAGGGCTTAGTGTTTAGGGTTTAGGGTGCCATACAGTCTCTTGGGATGCTGTTTGATTTGTGCTTTGAGCGCAACTGGGACTGTCGCAGATGTATGGCCCATTCTCTGCAGCACAAGCTACGCTGCTACAAAGTCACCCCCACACTTCTAAGTCTCTTAACACTACTACAGGGGCCTTCATATTTGGAATAGTGTTTGGGGTATGTTATACTAGAGTTAAAACACCACAAAATAGCATTGGTAGTTATTGTAGCCCGAAATCTTAGAACCCCAAAAACACTCGGTCTGAAGGGAAGCCCCTGCACCAAACCAACAAACCAAGCCAGAGAATGCTGCAAAGCCTCCGAAAATGCAATGGCACCACATGCAGCTCGACAACTCTCCAAACCCTGAACCCTAGTGCCCTAAAACCCTTAAATTTTAGAACTCTATACCGAATCCCCATAAGCCCCATACTTCCAAACCTCAGCAGCCTGAACCCGAATCACCCTGAATCCTAAATCCCAGGCCCTCAGCTGCAAAGCCCTGCACAACCTTGGATAAAGCACCTTGCAAGAAAGCATTCAGAAAACCCTAAACCGTACGCTTTACAAACCAAACCCTGCACCCCAAATCCTAAACTCCGAAACCTAAACACGAAAACTTAACAAAACTCTGTGTAACCCTATAGCAACCCGAATAGAACAGTAGCCCCTGTAGAAACCCCTCCTCGTAGACACCGTATAGCAACTTTTGCAGTTATAACAACCCATCGGTAAGCCTTGGAGTAGCCCTTTCAGAATCCGGTTAGAAATCCTCATCCTCACAATACCCAAGACCGTATAGTGACCCTTACAGGTCACCCGTATAGGCATACACAACCTATAGTAACCCCTATAGACACTTATGTAATAGTAACACTTATTTGTAGACACCTTGTAGCAGCCCCTGCAACGTCCTTTTCGAAACCTTATGACTGAGAACCAGGCCAGGGCTTCTTGCAGCAGCTGCCGACAGTGAACCAGGCAGTCTTTTGGGCTGCTGCCATCGATGCCTCCGGGGGTGCTTAGATTTTTGGGGGGCTTAGGTTTAGGGTTTATTTAGGGTTTTGGGGTGTCGGGTTTTAGGCTGCTGCCATCGATGCCTGGAAAGGTCTGTTAGGGTTTTAGTGGTTTTTAGGGTTTAGGGTTCAGGGGTTTAGGGCTTTAGGGCTTTAGGGCTTTGGGGTCTGGGGCTTGATAGGTCATTTTCGCATGGGTTTCTACGGAAGACGTCGATATGCGATCCCATGTTATTCCTTAAACTCAGAATCGTCTGGGGACCCGGTGGGGGCTTGCATTTCGGAATTAGGCGGGGTAAAAATGCTTCATGAAGGCCCAAAGGAATCTACAAGCTTCTACCAGGCCCCAAGACTTTGCGAAGGGATCTCAGAGCCCCCCGGTGTTACGCTATGGATGGAGTCTTGAGGTGTGTGTTGGGGTTTAGGGTTCAAGGCTGCGGAACTTCGGGGTTAAGGCTCGTGGTGTCAAATGGGTGGCTTTATTTCCCGACCTAAGAGTAACCTAGGAATAAAAAGGGTGCCCTTTTTGGTTTAAAGGGGCTTGTAAGGTAATTTATAAGGGAAGCTGAACCCTAAAAAGGGAGTAAGGGCCTACTTTGGGTCCTTGTTAGGCTCATGGTGCCAACTCAGAGGGGTTTATGGGTCAAAGGGGTTGGCGATTTTTGGCCGACAAGTAGAAGCGCAAATTCTTGGCACTGGCATATCAAATCTCTAAGTGCTGGTGTTTGGGTTTAGGAAAACATCGATCGCGACATCTCAGACACCTTTTGGCACAAATAACATATGCGGTTCTATCTCCGAAACTTACCCCTAATACTTGAAGACCCCCTCCACAAATCTGCATTAAACATGGGCTAAGCCCATCGAGCCTTCGACACTACAACGAACATCCTATACTAGACCTAAGAGTAGCCTAGGAATAAAAAGGGTGCCCTTTTGGTTTAAGGGTGCTAAAAAGGGAAACTGAACCCCAAAACGAAGGAATAAGGGCTTACTCTGGGTCCTAGCATAATTAACCGCAACCCCATACCCTAAACCGTAACCCTCAACTCTGAAAAACTGTCCCAGCAACCACCCATCCCAGAACCTCGGTAGGCCGCCCCGGGAGCTGGAGACAGGCCTGCATCAAAGATTCCCGGATTTGAAGTGTTGCCATACTACTAAAGTTAAAAAGCGCCGTTTTCATTATAATACTAATAGTACAAAGCGTATTTTATTATAGTACTAACAGTTATAATCAGAGTAATGATAAAAACAATAATAATTAAGGATAGTAGTGGTAGTGCTAATACTCATGGCTTAGGGTTGTATGCAGGTTCTATGCGCTTTCCACAAGTGTAGGTCTTGAGGAACTGGGCTTGGGTTTTGGTCTAGCGTTTACGGTTTAAGGCACACGAATTGGGGTCTAGGCAGCGAGTGTCGCTGCTCTGTACGGTTGGAACATCTAAACACTCATTCCCAACACTGGCCCAACACTCACAGTCTGATGCTCGCAGTTTGCTACGATTGTCGCAAGTATTACCAGTGCAGTCAATGGCTGCCTATGCCTTACATATGCCTTACAGCTCGTGCTTGTCGAATACAGCGGAGTAGGGTGATATATGAAGGGTTCCGTAATCGATAGAAATTAATGTGTGGTTTCCCACACACATCCTTGCCTTGAGGCTTCGAGTTCAGGGTTTGGGGTTGCACGTTTTGTGCAGGCTTACAAAACGAATCAGGTTGGACTGGGATTTCGCCCGACAGACCCTGGACCCAGGCCCCTAAACCCTCAAGACTCTCAACCCTAAACATAGAACACAAAAGCCTCAAGCCCTTTATCCTCGGCCTGCAAAGGTTGTGATTCGTTTGTGGGTTCAGCGTGAAGATTCAATGCTGTTCTGCTTGACTGCGCTGCACGCCGATTCAAGGTTCGGGGTGTTCATTTTGGGGCACAAGGTACACGATCCAGGGCCTAGGGTTTAGGGTTCTGGGTTGTGGAATGAGGGTCGCAGTGTTCCTGCCACTGCTGCCGGCAATATCAAGTAGCTAGTATTGCTTGGACTGTCCCAAAGACTGACGTTGCCAGCCAGCACTAGCACGATGATTGCATTTCCTTCGTTGCTGCAGGCAGCCTGCAACTTAATTAGCCCGCAAGTTAAGATGTCAACACAAATCTGCGACCACCGAGAAACTGTTCTAAGCAAACGTCCCTGCAAATGTGGAACCTATGGGAAGGTCCGAAAGTCCTACGGTCGTGCAGATGCTGCGTGCCAGAACGAGTTCCCTGGAAGGTGCGGTTGTGCTTTTCCTCCAAAGCTTACGTAGTGGTTTTGCCTGCAAAAGAGTGTGAAGAGAGCGATGACTTACCTTTGGTTAGTAGGGAATGGAGGAATGGGGTACAATTATAACTACCATCACTACCATTCTTCCATTCCCTACTAACCAAAGGTAAGATAGAAGCAGGGCAAGATCCGAGGCATGGACTTCTTTTCCCGAAAAGCGCTTCCTGCATGGAGTCTCTGCAATCCAAACCTGGATTCAATAAAAACGGGCCATGTCTGGCCTGACAAAGCCGCTCGTACCACATGCGCCTTGAAGTTGCCACATTGGGCTGTCGTCTACCGAGATGCCTCCACTAAGATGATCACTCCTGCGCTGACCAAGACGAAGGCACCCATACCCAGAAGGAAGTAACCGCCACAGGCAACACACGAAAAGCCGGAGATGCCACTTTTGGCCGCTGCCGCACATACGGCCGCTTTGCCACCATGAGCTGCAGCACAGGTCCCAGCCGTTTTGAAGGCCACGAGTCCGAGCCACTCAAAGCCACACACTCCGCGCCGTTGGGCTGAGATCGGGAGCCTGCCACATTCTGAGCCGAGCGTTCGACCAGGGGATAGGATGCGAAACGCATGCGTCCCCGAGTTCAAACCATTACGCAAGTAGCTCATCCGCCGAATCTGCTGATGCTGCGTGGTCGGTGCGACGGCTGCCACAAGTCGGGTAGCACGGAGAAGCATCGTTCGAATCCGACTATGCAAATCAGGAGACTACACTGCCAACAAGGATGCCTGGGCCCAGAAGCTATTTCGAGGATCTTTCAAACTCATCCTAGATCATCCACTGTCCACATGCTCAGTTGTTTTGGCTTCCCAGTTCTGTCCTCGCCTCACTTTCAAAAATTGAGCTTGTTCACTTGTCGTCTTTCGGACCAACATCACTGGCAATAGCAATAGTGCACACCACAGAGACCCTGAGTTTCGATTGAATCAGCGTGCTCGAGGACCCGAGAAACTGGCCTTCAGGGCTTGACGCAGGATGCTAATGCTGAAGAGCTGGAATAATAATCTATTCGGAGACATATCGCACATACACACACACACACCTGAATCGCCTTTACGATCCCTTCAGCCCAGAAACCCTGCTCTGTGTTTCTTTCTCCCGGCGGCCTCTCACCTCTTCCGCAACCTCCTCTTCCGCTGCAACCTCTGAAGGAAACATCACTGAAGCTTGTGTTCCGGCTGCGCTTCCTTACAGTAAAAGCCAGAATTTCTGGATTTCTTCCTTACAGTAAAAGCCAGAATTTCTGGATTTTCTGAAAATCGGCAAATGACTATCTTCATGGCCCTGCAGTCGAGTATGCGGAAACCCAGCACTTGTCACCCTTCTCCCATGCTGCAACTTTCTAGAGTTCACAGTATAACCAAGGTCCTTCAAAGCCTGGATTGGGAGTCCAGAGCTATCTGGCTGACTCGATAGCTGCATGCGTTTAGTTATGTTGCAAAACCGTCACGAAACATACTTCCATCCTGTCCGTCCGTACAATAACCTAAAGAAAGGATAGGTGAGGAACTACACGTACGAAGCTGAAGGCCAAGATTACGCAAAGAGCTGGAGTTGGGGTCACTGGGCGCTCTTCCGTTTATCTGGGGCTGCAAGACACTTGCATCGCTTTTGATTATGCAGCCCGAAACCTTGAAACCATCACCCCAAATCACTTCACGAAACTATCCCAGAGTGTGTTTCCAATCCCTACAAGCAAGCTAGCTGATTTTACTACACCATAAACCCTGAAGTACCTCTTTGGCACTCCCACTCTCAGCAAACAGCACAGGGTCGGACCGTCGGTGTGCCTTCTCATTGCAAGCCTGTAGAATGTTCTCCAGGTTTGACCAACTAAGATAAGAATCTCCTGGAGAACGCTCTGAAGCTCCCAAACCTTCCACACCAAACCTCAAACTCCCAAACGCAGAGCCGTAACTGTGAACGCGAAAATGTTGGCTTCTGCTCAACAGTCGTTGCTTTGCCCGTCCTCCTGCTCAGCAGCAGCCGCGCTGTCTTGGACTGGCCGGGCAAACATGCAACGAAAGCGGGCCAATACAGAGGTCGATCAAGTGGTTAAGCCTGATTACACTGTGTTATAAGGGTTACGAAGTATTGCTTATGTTTGAGGTTCCAGAATCATTTTGGCTGCGCGGAACTGACCAGGTCATGCAGTCAACTTGCAACGTCTTGAACGGTGCCAACCCAGAAAGATCAGTCACTCCGTGAGATCCCAAGAGGCTAGCGCTAAACCCTAAAGCCCCTAAATCCTGAAGACTTTGTGCACCCTACCAGTAGCTGTCCCCAACTAGGCCCCACAACCCGATGACCCCGAACCCTTATCCTTACGTCTCAAACTCAAACCCCAAAACAAACCTGCAAGAGTTCAAAGCCGAGAAGCAAACCCACCCTAAACACCAAAAAAACCCAAATCCTAACTCCTCCATCCTAAACCTCTCATGTCGCACCTTCGTTTTCAATCCTCTCTGCAAGCCGCTGGAGGATGGCTCGTACCCACCTCCCCTGATAGGGAGGCTTCAGTTGGCTCAAAGTTTAGGGCTTTGGGGTTGGGGAGTCAAGTGGTACCAATATGGGTAGTTGTCAAAATTAAGGTCCCTTTTTGGGTACCCTATAATGGGGACCCAAAGAGGAACCATGATTAATTTTGACAACCACCCATATGTCTGCATCATTGTTAACGAGTCTTCGTAATAAAGCTAGTGGCTCTGATGCTAATGACGTACACTGCTCGGTTCTCGTACACCTAGACATACTTCTACTGCTGTTACCGTTCTCTCTGTTGTTGTCCTTGTTAAAACCTTGGCCTGGAGACCTCGGCATAACGGTCAGCTTTGTTGCTGAGTTCACACGCCCCAAAAGAGTGTACACTTTTAGCTTTATATTGGGTAAATATTCCGCGCAAAAGTGTCAAGTGTGTCCACTCAGCTACTAAGTCAGAAGATAGGGCTTCGGATTCCGGGCTTTTATGCTATGGGTCTCAGGTTCAGAGAGCTCAAACGATGGTAACTGCCTGCGGGAATCCCACACAGGCCCAAACGGACTCCTTTAATACAGGGGCCTGAATAATTAGAATAGGGCTTGGAGGGAATATTATACTATAACTCGAATAAGGAACCCCCACAATAGTATAGGTAATTATTAAAGCCTCAATGTTATACCTTCATCCCGATGCTTCTGAGGCCTTTTAGGGCTTGGCATCAGGCCAAATGCGAAGATCTGAACCATGACTTCGCCGAAAATGGCGGTGCGGGCCGTGTGAGCCAAAGTGTAGGCATACATCAGCTTCTGGAAAGCTGTTGCCGTGTCTTCACACTCAAGGCCTCCCGCTGCCGCGCGAAATGCAATCATGGTTCCCACCATGAATCCGTCGCGGCTTGCGGACAGGTCCCAGTTTGACGCATCGTGAGTTGTGTCGACTCCACCCTGTTTGCCATGAAGTGCATTGATCTTGTGGAATAGGTTGTCCAACCCCGCGTCGTGGTGTCCGACGCCAACTCCTGTATGCACCTGGCCGGGTTCGTCCTCCTGGAACTGACACACAGAGTTCTTCGCAAGGTATCCCCAAAGGGTTTTAGGGTCCGGTTCATCTGGTTTAAGGGCTGGGCTTGCGCTGTTTGCACTGGGAATATCCGGGTACATCTGAGAAGCGAGTTCAGTTTGCGGGCTGTTGGACTGCCCAGTGCTTTGGGCAAGAAATCTGAGGGCTCTAATCTATCTTATCTTGCATTGATACAGGGGTTCCTGTGGAGTCCGGGGGGGTGACGGGTACAAGAAGCAGGAAAGCAATAGGTTTTTGTTAGGTTGAAGTACGGATCAAGGGTTCCCCTCACTCGCGGTTTTTTCGTGCAAAGTCCACAACCTGGGATCCAGACCGAAATTCTGAGGAGTGAACCCTGAACACATGGTTTAAGAACCTAGTGTTTGGGCTTTAAGGTTCTATCTGTCTGAGTATCTTGGTGGCCCAAACGAAACTTTTTTTTCAGCCAGCCGCCAGAACTGTTAATGTCGCCAATATTAGGCTGCTAGATCCAGGCCAGGCTTTCCGGTTACATCAGCACGAGCGCAATCGCAGCCGAACTAACAAGAACAGCGCACCCAATTCTGCTAAGTAGTAGGGGCACACGTCTTAAGGTGCAACCCCGTTCTGGGGTTTGGGCAGTTTAGGGCTTATAGGCTTTAGGATTTAGGTTTAGTCAAGACAGGATCCTGCCTCCTTCAGCAGGAGCTTGTCTCGCAGTTGCGACTGCAAGCATGGAAACAGCAAGGGTTTAATGACAAGTATCGTGTAGTGTTTATTGCAGGTTCTTGCTTCATATTACTATGCTAGTATACTTCTATGTACTATTGCTGCAAGTCTTCTTCTTCCGGAACAGTTGATGAGTAACAACGTCTGGTAATTATGGCTACCTTGCGGCTTCAGGTGCTCCGCGTGAGGATTCGTTTGGTGATGCGGAGTTTCCGCTGCTGCAGCAAAAGCTGCTACAATTGCGAGACAAATTGCCTCAAGTGTGCGGTACTGGTTCTACCAGAAGCCGCGACGGGGTGGCGACATAAGGAAAACATCGCATTCTCGGGTCTAGTGGAACACCGAAACTGGCATGACAAAAACACAATAGGCTGGCCTGGCCTTGGGCACGGCATCGATGGCAGCGCGAAGGGCCAACTGCGCAAGGGAAGGCAAGTAATCTTCGGGTGAAATAAAACCTGCGGACGAGGGCCCGGAGAAGTCTATCCGATAACTGCACTGTCCCACGCATTTAGGTCGATAAGCGCCATGATAACTTGAATCTGACGGATGAATGACTCCCGTAAATACACGAAACTGGAGTCCGAAAACCCCGAACCCAAACACTGCCTTCAAAACCGCAAAAACCCTTACCCCAAACCCTGACTCCCAGATCCTACACCCTGTGTACTACAGAGGCCTGAACAATGTATACCAGATTATGAAAGTCTAAGAGGGCAACCCCCCACACCCAAGTCTATCTGGGCTATTCTACATTGACTATGTTGAAGAAGCCGAAGGAATCAAGCCGCCCTAAAAACCCTCTAACACCCTCAGAAACCCCAATCGTAGGGTCTAGGGTTCAGGAGTTTAGAGCTTCGGGTGTAGGAAATCTCTCATGCCAGCTCGCGGATGATTCAGACTCCAAACCCTAGCCTACATGGGAGTTTCCGAAAATTAGGGGTACCTTATTTGGGGGTCCTTATAATAAGGATCCTACTATTTGGGGTACTTGCACCCGAGCCCGACGCCTCGACCGTCTGACGTGTGGCCTTCGCCGGCAGCTTCCTTGACAGCTCAGTGTGGACTTAGTAACATAATGGGTTCCTTAAGGGTCCCTTTAAAGGGATCTATAGGGATTCTATAAGGGTATAGGGTTTAGGGCTTAGGGGGACTTAGTAACTGGCTATTTTAGGGACCTATAAGTATCCTAACCCCAATTAGGGTCCCTTTTGGGGTACTTATAAGTCTGCTTACTACATACTTACTAAGTCCCTGAACCCCACAGTAAACCCTAAACCCTATACTACCCTTATAGAGCCCTTAAAAGGAACCCTTAGCATCCCCTTAAAGGACCCTCCAAGTGGGTTTGTGAAGGCCGGGTTGGCCCTTGACCCTAAACCATCACTAATCATTTCGCAAGGTAGGGGCAGAAAATGCAATAGACCAGAAACCCATGAATCAAGGATTCCTTTCTTATAGGGCTCTGTGTAGGCGTTTTTAAGTGTAAGCCTCGCAGGTGTCCGCACAAAAGCCGCAGAAATTTCCACTGAACCACTGAGCAAGCCCCACCCTGAGCCCTAACCTCTAAATTAGGCACCTTAATTATTAGAATAGGGTTTCGGGTTGTATTAGAGTATACCTATAAAAAGGCACCCTATAAAAGGAATATCTAGGTAATCTTTCAATCTTCTACCGCGAACCCAAAGCTGAAACATCGCGAAACCCTGAACCCTACACCCTAAACCCTAAAAGCCCTAAACCCCTAAAAGCCCTAAACCCTTAAAAGCCCTAAACCCTTAACCCTAAAACCCTAAGACTTAAAACCCTAAACCCTAGAAGCCCTGAAACTCTAAAGCCTAAACCCTAAAACTCTAAACCCTAAACCCCTGAAAGCCCTAAACCTGGAGAAGGACTCAGCTTCAGCAAAGGCTCGCAGCAAGAGCCTCGATCAAGCGGTCGATGCTGGCGTCCGCCATCGCTTCAGATCGTATGGGAAAACTGCGACGATCGACGTCGCCGAAATCGCGGGTTCAGGATAGGGTTTACGGTTTAGGGTATAGGGCTTAAGCCCTAAACCCGAAACCCTCCCAAATCCCAAAGCCCCCTTCCCTGCTAAGAGTGCGCTGTTGCGAGGCTTAGGCGAGTTCAGATTTCGAAGTCTACCGAGTTCAAGTTTGGTAACCTCTAACCGTTGGGGTTTTGGGCTTCGGGTTGCCTTTGAAGGGTGGTATGGGAGGGTTGGGAGGGATGAGAACGTGGCGGAGGCTGCGAGGCTACGGCCTAGCCGTTTGTCCCTGCCATGCTTTAGAATTGTTGACCTTTCTATTCTCACTGCAACCATCGTGACTCTTGCTTGTGTCGTCAGCCTCGTGTCTGTGGCTTGAGTGTTGTTTAGATGACTCTCATGTTGATGTCGATGACAGGTGGTTTGCTCAGCACTTGAGCCTAGGACAAGCTGGCGGCGTAGATCAAGCAGACAGCGGGGATAGTCACCACCAAGGTCACCACTGGAGAGCCGTAAACAAAGAATCTTGAGCTTAGACTACTCAAGCTGGTGCCTCAGGTCTCCCAGAGCCTCCAAAACCCCTTAATTAAGGAATATACCTTAAATCATATAAGGGATCCTATTATAATTTAAGGTATATTCCTTAATTAAGGGGTTTTGGGGGCTCCGGGCTCTGAAAAACGACAACGACATCTTGCACCTTGACCTCGTAAAGTCGAACTCTCAGCCTCTCAGCTCCCAACCATAAAGCCCTCCACCATAGAATTACTCCAGGAGCCTAGAAAGCCCTGTAAAGTCCGTCAAACTGAACCCACCGGTGCTGGTCGGAGGGCCTGACGCCCTCGCGAGCCTGTGCATCTGAGAGCTTTCGGGCTTGAGGAGACAGCTTCAAGGATCGAGCGTAGTTTCTCCCGCTCCCGTATGGGAGTTCGGGATAAGCTTGGATTCCTAGGCCGTATGGGCCGTCCCATGCTGTCACCCCCAGGAGGGGTTCTTGGTCTCTCAGATTAGCTTGCTTCCCAAGCCTGACCTGAGCAGTGGTGCCTGTGTATCCGTCCCGTTGTGTTGCGCTCCATGCTTACTTAAAGGATCATGGGACTTAATTAGTAAGTAACTAGGCTTATAATTAGGGTAACTATACTTATAACTACTTATAACCCCAATTAAGGTACTTATAACCTTACTTACTAAGTCCCATGATCCTCCAAGCACCTATTGAAATTGTACTCGTGTACTTTCCCACGATACACGTGCTTGGAATCGCAAAATCCAAAAGCCCATCAAGAACACGTTAAGGACCCTTTAAAGCCGTCTGAAAACAAGAGGAAAATCTCTTTCGACCATACACACCGCTGTGCCCGCAAAAACCCCTAAACCCTAAACCCTAAACCCCTAAACCCTAAACCCTAAACCCACCTAAACCCTGAACCCCAAGCCCTAAGACCCTAGCGCCCAAACTGCAAAGCCTCAAGCCCCTAAACCCCTAAACCCCGGAACCCTTACCAGCAAACCCTAAAGCCAACCGTGAACACTAATCGCTAAGACCCTAATACAAGCCTGGCTGACATCCGAACCCCTCCTAAAAGTTATACCTTTAGCCTCCTCATTATAGTTCATATAGAAACCCAAAAAGTTGAAGTCCTAAGAGCCAAGCAGAAGAACGCCAAGTAATCGCTAAGACCCTAATCCAAGGTGACGGGATTTCGCCCGCACGAGCCACCCGAAGCCTTAAACCCGGAAGGTTCGCTGGTTCAGGCTTCTGGGATTTATACCCTAACTCCTAAACCCTTTTCCCCTAAACACCCAAACCCCTGAACCCTGCACCCTAAACCCCTGACCCTAAACCTTAAACTCCTAAACCAAACTCCTAAACCCTGAGCCCTAAACCGAATGAAACCCGAGAGGCACTGAGAGCCTCAGGCTCGGCACGCCGAGATCCTGTGGGCCGTAAGTAGGGCTTCAGGTTAGGGTTCCTGTAAAGGGGTCTATAGGGGGTCCGTCCCTTAATTAAAGGGATCTATACCGGTTCCATTAAAGGGATCAGAGAGGATTTAGGGGTTAGGGGTTCACGGTTTAGGGTACAGAGCTCTAGGGTTCAGGGCTTAGAGTTGTGTTTTCGGGTTTAAGAATTAAGGCTCAGGGGTTAGAGTTTTGTTTTGGGGTTTATGGTTGAGGGTTTACAGTTTGTTTTGGGATTTAGGGCTTAGGGTTTAGAGCTTTGTTTTAGGGCTTCGAGCTTAGGGTCTAGGGTTTACAAAACTTAAAGGCTAGTAAGGTGGTGGAGGCTGCAAGGGCTTATAGGGTTTAGAGAGCTTCAGAAATTCCTGGGAGGGATCGGACGGATGGATGGCTGGATGGATGGATGGATGGAGGGAGGAACGAATGAATATGCGACATACACGTGTCGGTCATTCGACCACGTTGGGATACTTGCCCTAAGTCCGGAACCCTAAACCCTCAACCCTAAAACCTAAAACCCCAAAACCCTAACCCCAGGGGTCCTTAAACTAAACCCCCAAACCCTCAACCCTCAACCCTAAACTAAAGCCCGACACGCTACTTGGAGGGTCGGGGGACTTAGTAAGTAGGTAGTAAGTAGACTTATAAGTACCCCAAAAGGGACCCTAATTGGGGTTAGGGTACTTATAAGTCCCTAAAATAGCCAGTTACTGAGTCCCCTAAAGACCCTCCAAGTACTCTAAACCCTATACCCTATACCCTTATAGAACCCTTATAGATCCCTTTAATGGGGCCCTTAAGGAACACCCCTAAACCTGAAGCCCCAAAACTTAACTCCGAAGCTCCGGAGCTCCGCCTGAGGAGGCCGGAGGAGCCGGCTGGGGCGGAGGGGCAGCCTCCGTGCATCGGGGCTTTACGGCTTAGGGTTCCTTTAGGGTTTAGGGTTTAGGGCTTTAGGGCTTTAGGGCTTTAGGGTTTAGGGCTTAGGGTTTAGGGTTTAGGGTCTGAGGTGGCCTTAAAGGGATCTAGAAAGGGTTTAGGGCCTGGGGTTTAGGGTTCCTTAAAGGGTTCAGGGCCCAGGGTCTAGGGGATCTATGAGGGCTTGGGGCTTAGGGTCTCTTTAAAGGGCTGAGGGTGTAGGGCTTAGGGTCTTTGGGTTTAAGGTCCCTTTAGAGAGTTCTAAAAAAGGTTCAAGGTTTAGGGTTCCTTTAAAGGGTTCTAATAAGGGCTGAGGGTTCAGGGCTTCGGGGTTTAGGGTTTCGGATTAGGATAGAGGGGTGGCAGGGTTCCACTCCAAGGGATCTATACGGGTTCCTTCAAGGGGATCTATGAGGGCTCAAGGGGTAGGGGTTTAAAGTTTAGGGTTTAGGGTATAGGCGTATCGGGGTTGAGGGTTTATTCAAAAGGTTCTGATAAAGGATTCGGGTATGCAGCTTTAGCGTTTAGGGCTGACTGCTTAGGGCTTTAGCATCTTAGGGTTTAGGGCTGAAGGGCTTCGTTTTTTAGGCACCTTTTTCCGTCCGTTGCAGTACATGGAAGACCTCTAGAGCTTTGAGTTTAGGGCTTCGGGTTAAGGGCTTAGGGTTCAGGGTTTAGGGGATCGGAATGGGGTTCAGGATTTAGGGGAATGGGGTTTAGGGTTTAGGGGAATGGGGTTTAGGGTTTAGGGGAATGGGGTTTAGGGTTTAGGGTATACCGGTGCTTGCAAAGTCCTAAAAGGAAGCGGCGCTGATCTTGAGAGTCTCAGTTGGCGTCTCGGACATGCTGCTACGACCGCTACGATCATCTCCACATTGCGGCCCTGTCAAGCGCCCGGAGCGGAAGTCACGAACCGAGAGGCAAGATTGAGCAAGAAGATTCCGCAAGCAAGTTATGTTGAACCGTGCGCTGGTGCAGAGTATACAAGGAGATCGGACCTTAAATGCAGCATCCAGGGTGGCTGAAGGGCTGCAGCGTGTCTGGGCTTTTCAAGGCTTAGAGATCTGTGTTTGGGGCTGTAGGGTTTCAGGGTTTACAGTTCGTCGTCGTAGTCGTGATCGGTGTCGTGGTAGTGGCAGTAGTTTGATGGGAGGCCAAAAGGGCGGTTTAAGATTCTTGGGGTAGGGATTCCTTAATATGAACCCTACCATGGGAACCCCAATCCCCACTAAACCCCCATAGGCTAAAACCTCTTTTCGCCTCCTGTGCGTAGCTCTGTCATCGATGTAGATGAGATTGCTCGTGCGCGATGTTTTGCAAAATGCACTCCACAGACGCCCGAAAGCAAGAGCCATCGTGGGCGACAGGGGGGCAACCCTGCACGACACCCCTCGAGACGGTGACCCACTCGGAGGTGTAAAAACTCTGGCTCTTGAAGAGGCGCACCTGCGAACTGTAAGCACGGGGCCGAGCTCCGGTGGTGCCCCCAGTCTGCGCAGAAGCCGCGACATGGCCTCAAGATCAATCGTGTCGAAGAAATTGTTCGAGTCTTGCTTTATGAAATGTTGCACGTCGCTTTTTCGGGCCAGCAGGAGGCGACCGTGGGCGTCTGCCGCGCCCCGGCGAGAGGGAGGAGGAGCAGCAGCGGCAGCAGGAGCAGTGCAGAAACCCAGCCTCACGTTTGAACCTTAAGCCCGAAACCTGCAAACCCAGGTCTTGAGTTTTGGATCAACCATCCCCTGAACTTAACGAGTTACGGGTCCTGAATCCGAAACCTCATCCCCTACACCGTAAAGGCAATAAATCCCTAATAAACCCCAATGTCCAAAACGCCCCAGAGCTCTTGCAAGAACACTACGACGCCAATACTTGGACATGCATTACCCAGAAAACAACCGAACCGTGAAATCCACCCTAAACCCGAATCACTGAAATCTGCCCCAGCGACAAAGATCCTCTAAGGCCCCAATACAACCCTCTGGACCGCCTTCAAGAGATCAGACAGCTGCACCAACTGCAGGAGTTTCCACGATCTACATACATAAATACATACATGCATACATACATACGTACATACATACATACATACGTGCA